GACAGTGGCTCAGGAGGTAGGGGAGTCATCCTTGGATTGCCACTTTGATCCATCCGTCTTAGTTGTTGGGTCCTTGGGCACGGCACTTCACCCACATTGTCTGCTGGTGGTGGTCAGAGGGTCCAGTGGTGCCGGTGTATGGCAGCCTCCTCCAGAGTGTCCCAGGGCAGCTGACAGAAGTAGTTTACCACCATCAGTGTGTGAATGGCCAAATGATGAAAATCGAMTCTCCACAAAACAAAACTTTGCATGTTTTACTATTTCATGATATGAATTTTGGTATATATCTCATAATCAACCACCAACTTATTTAATGTATTAACCCACTAGCCTTRATTAAAAGGTATTTTACAACTTTTTATTCAGAAGTCGATGGATTGACACCTTCAACCTGTCAATTTACTTTGAGTTTTAAATATATTCAGTTCTTTTTGTGATCAGTCAGCAGGTTAGCTCTTTCATGCATGACACTTAATGCTCTTTAAATAATGTTTTTTTCCCCCTGACTCTTAACTGTTTGGTCTTTTTCCTCAGTCCCCTGGCTGTGACTCTGCTTTACTGCAGGTTTTAGTATGCATCCCTTTTCTAAACCACTGCCAGCTAAAACATCTGGGGTCATCTAAAGTTGCTGACAGTTCCACACAGTTTAGAGTTAACCTTGTCAGCATAGTATTTCCATAATGACACAGATCAGATGAGGTCAGCTTAAAATTAGTTTTTAATACCACAGCAACTTTTCATCTTTAGTTTCACCGTGTGTTTTAAATTGCTTTTAAAACCTGGCTTTTCTTTTTGGACAATTAACTTGTCSGACCATGGACATGGTACAGATTAAAATTGGACCTGATGGGAAAGTAATGAGAAAAGGTTCAAAAGATAAATGCAAACTTAATTTAAACTTGACCTTTATACAGTAGTGAAATGTGTCCCTAAGGTGGCAAGTTTCTTAGAAACATTGTAATGATCTTAAAAGTGCTTAATGTTGTTTTTCTACACAGTAAAGAGTTAAAGGTCTCTAAGAGTGCAGAGAATTTAATCTCTCCTGGTGCTGCAGCTGGTATATCTTATTTGGGTCATATCTTTCCGGTTTTCTCCAATTCATCTTACATTTTTTTATATATTTTAAGATCACTTTATTTGCTGAGGAACCTCTAAACAACGTCATTGCCTTCCGGCTAATCATTTTTGTGAATCTGTGGTTCGGCAGGTTTGTCGTCTTCAYTCTCCTCTGGCTCTGGGTCGGACTCTGGCTACAACATGTAAGGCTGGATGGACAGGYCTTCCATTGTTGACGTCTTTTAAGATATTTGTAAATAAAAAGTTTCTGTGCCACTAGATATTTGTGACACTGACATCAAACTACAAACATGGATGAATGAGGTGGAGTTGGGCAAGGGGAGAACTAACTCATTTGCATTTAAATAAGCAGCACCAAATCAAGTTGATCTGAGACACATCTCAGAACAGGGGCGAAAGAGGGGCTTGTGGAGTTACAATAATCAGAAATTCAGATGAAAGCATTGCAGTTTCACTTTATATAGACCTGAACTGAAGGATTCAAATGTGAAAAGAAAAAGGACACATGTCCCCTTTAATTCATCAGGATATGTCAAAAAGTCCAACTAAAATTTGTGTAAACCCCAATTGAGATAATCAAGTGAAACAAGGGAGCTGTTACAAATTTGTTTTTATTAACTATATCATAAATATGAATAAATAAAATGTTAATAATTTAAACATAGTGTTGATTGATTTTAAAAACTAGAGTGAGTTCAATCTACTGAGCGAAACAAACTGTTAATGTAATTAGATTGTGTTGTTTGTTCCTAATATTACTGAACTTYTATAATGGAGGCGTCATGATCTGATCCAAAGTTAAAAGAAATATTGATTGTATATACTGCTGAATATGTTATGAGGTCTGATGAAAAAGACATTTCAAATGATGTGTGCCACTTGCAGACCTTATCTGCTGCCAGCTAAAGATGTGCTGTTTGTAAATCARCATGTTCTTGTTTCTTGTAAGCAGAACTGGTCACTATGGTCTATGGGAACTGGTCTATGGTCAGAACTGTGGACAGCTCCAATATCAAGGACTTTATTGCAGTATTTTTGTGGAGMACAAGATCACAACACACATTCTGCAAAAATTATTCTGAGTCCAAGAACAATAATACAGTCTAAACCATGGCTGAATTGCATATTTCTGCTTAAGAAACCTTTATTCTTCCTGCATGCTCAGAGTCTTTTTCTGCATTTGTTGCCAGCTGAAGGTCTGAATCATTATAAAAACGCCTCATTTGCAAACTGTTTTAAATGAGGTTTTCTCCACGTTTTATTGTTGCAAACACTGCAGCGGTGATGTTTCTGTTTGCTGCTGTTTGCACAATGTAGCTTGAATGCCATAGTGTCATGTACGTGTGTTTATGTCCAAATTTCAGTCAGCTGAAAAATGTTGATTCAGTGTTTACTGCCTAAGCAGATAAAGCCAAGACAGTTTTTGTGTTAATCTAATTTGATCACCTAAGATCACTCACTGCTGGCAACTCTCAGGTTGAGGCCACTGGTGAGCTGCCAAACAAAATAATTCTACTCTTAAGGTCATTAATTACAGTGGGCTACCTAAGTGATGGCTAAATGTGGCTGTGGGGACAGTAATAATATAAAGATACCAAATCATGTCTTAAACAGAAGCTACTGCTTCCCTGTCTGTCCTAAAAAAATATAATTAATAATTTACAACACTGAATATTGAMACTATTTTAACAGGTCATCTTGTGGTCCCAATAAATTAGTTTATTGGATTATATTTGTTGGTGAGTTGATGTCACTGTGGAAACAAAGACCTGGGGAGGAGAGGGGAAAATAGAGAACCAACTGTGTCACAACAAAATGTGTTTTAATATATGTGGGTTAGGATACTTTTTTCTTTTTTTTTCTTTATGGTAGGTGTTTTCTGATGTTTCCCCCATTTTTTCCCCCAATATTCATTGTTTTAGTCAACCTACAGTCACAAAGGTATTTTGGATGGAGAAAAAACAAAATAAAACAAGGAACAACAAAGAATGTCAAGGTTGCTTGTTCTTTTGCCTAAATTTCAGCTTCGTTCATTTTTTTATATTTGTTTACATATATTCACATGTTCTTTGCTTCTTGCAAGTTCTTTCTGATAGTTTCAACCTTTTTTTCTACTTTTTGCTAGCCTAGTAAAAACCAGCCCCTTGTCCTTYGCTTTGCTTCATACAAGGGTCTGGATTCTCAGCTATAGAGAAGGGATTCTTGCTGGAGGCGTGGCCTCTGCTGAAGTTTAAAATAATTGGATTGTTGGCTGTGATGTATGTGTATGTCAGCTACACTACTACTAAGAATCTGAGGCTAAGCTAAGAAGCTAACTGGAAATTTGCTTGCGTGCTGTAAACAACCCTACTGAGAGGAGAGAGGTACCGAGCAAAATGAGACGGCTGTAAATCAGAGCTGCTGCTTTGTCAGACAAATTTATTTTAATTTGGAAGCCTTATCAACACAGACTGGCTTCATTCAC